CCCCCCAGCGGGGAATTTGGGGTGCCACAGCGGAAAGGGGGGAATCTGGGATGAGCCATCCCGACCCCCCACCGCCGCTGTGTCCCAGCACTGATGCTCTCCCCCAGTTGGAGAGCGACTGGGAAGACATACGGGGACGGATTTGGGACCTGGCATCTGTCCTGCAAGAATAAAAGAGTGATATGTCTGGACCAAACGAGACTCCCTGGACCAAACCAGACTCCCTGGACCAAACCAGACTCCCAGGGATCAGAGTCTTTTTTTTTTTTTTTTACCTTCTCCCCATCTTGTTCCTGCTGCCTTTGAGCCTGCACGGGGGGGGGAAGAACTCGCCGCGCCGCTTAATTTCCGTCTCCGCAGCGAGGAATTTGGGGTGATGCGGAGGAAAAGGGGGGAATCTGGGATGAGCTCTCCCAATCTCCTGGCGCCACTGCATCCCAACACCAATGCTCTCCCCCAGTTGGAGAGCGACTGGGAAGACATACGGGGACGGATTTGGGACCTGGCATCTGTCCTGCAAGAATAAAAGAGTGATATGTCTGGACCAAAACCAGGTTGCTCCAAGAAACCAGACTCCCTGGACCAAACCAGACTCCCAGGGATCAGAGTCAAGCCCTGGGGGCATCGTTTTGGCTTTTGTTTTGTTTGTTTGGTTGGTTTTGTTTAATTTAATCCAGAGAGGGGCAAATTTCAGCTCCTAATTTTGGGATTTAACCCTTATCCAGTTTGCCGGTCTCTTTTGCTTGGCCCCGGTTTCTCACCGCGTGGGTTACTTTGATAATAATAATATAATGATAATATAATAATAATGATAATCAAATTTCAGCTCCTAATTTTGGGATTTAACCCTTATCCAGTTTGCCGGTGTCTTTTGCTTGGCCCCAGGTTTCCCACCGCCTGGGTTACTTTGATAATAATAATATAATGATAATATAATAATAATGATAATAAGAGAAGGCTCAGGGGAGACCTTATAGCGGCCTTTCAATGCCTGAAGGGTGCCTATAGAAGAGCTGGAGAAGGACTCTTTGCCAGGAGGGGTAATGATAGGACAAGGGGAAACAGTTTTAAATTGGAAGAAAAAAGATTGAGATTAGATCTCAGGAAGAAATTTTTTACTCTGAGGGTGGTGAGACACTGGAACAGGTTGCCCAGGGAAGCTGTGGCTGCCCCATCCCTGGAGGGGGTCAAGGCCAGGTTGGATGGGGCTTTGAGCGACCTGGTCTGGTGGGAGGTGTCCCTGCCCAGGGCAGGGGGGTTGGAACTGGATGATCTTTGAGGTCCCTTCCAACCCAACCCATTCTATGATTCTATGATAATACAGATAATGGTCTGCAAAATATCAGATGCTTTGTATTTATGAAGGCAAATCTCTTGGTAGAAGCTCTCCCTGGGTATCCTGAGTTGGTAACCACTCTAAAAATCAAAACTGGGGCTTCTTGGACCTCCTGAAAGGTCTGAGACATCGAACCCTCTCTCCTCCATCTCCTCCCTTGCTGCTTTGATGCTCGCAGAGCCTTGCTTGTATTTAAACTTCTTTTTTTGCACGATGCGAAAGCTTCTAAAAATACCATCGCGCCGGAGCCTGAGTTTCCTCCCTAAATCCCAACTGATGGCAAAATGCATAATTACGGAGCTTTTTAACCAGCAGCGTTACGGGGCTGCCTCCTCCTGGGTAAATATTTAGGTGGTTTTTCTAATAGTTGGGAGAGGATTTGCTCTCAGGATGAGGAATTAGATGGTGGGAAAGCATCGACGAGGGGTTTCTTTGCCAGTCTGATGCTTTGCCGTTCTCCATCACCGCGCTGGATGGAGGCATCTCACCCGGATTTTGTCATGGATGGGACTGGCTCTCGGGTGATTAAATTGCCTCCAGGAGATGCCTACCACGAGGTGTGCATCACCTGTCCACCTAGAATACCATGACTTCTTGCCAGAAGATCAAAGCTGGGCAAAACCCACCCAAACGTTATGCCACGGATGTATTTTTTGCTAGATATAAATTAAAAACCGATGGCGTGAGGCTGTCGCACCCTTTATTTATTCACTTATCTATTTATTTCTTTAGTGAGTCTTGTTTTTGGGCCAAGATGCAGTTGTCAAGCTGCTTTAACTAAAAGGATGGCACACGAGCACGGGAGCGTGTTCGTCCCCGAAAAGTCCACTTTTATGCCCAGGAATTAAATATTTAGAGTGATTATCTGCTGCCCTGGGGAGCCGGTTCCTGGTCCTGCCCGTCCTGCTGAGCTTGCTTTAAGGACCATTAAACATAATTGCAGAGGGGCGAGGGATGCTCTATCCCTACCCTTAATGCTGGGACTTTCATTTGGGTCTTCCTCCCTGCATCAGTTGGGAGGTCAACCTTGCTTGAGCGTGGTGGCCTCTTAACCCATCTTCCTTGCTAAGAGATGCTCTGCCGCATCTTCGGAGTGACCCCAACTCGATGAGCATTTATTGTAGGGCTGAAAACCGAGAGCGAGGCAGCTCTGCGATGGGGAAGAAGCCATAAATAATTAAAAAAAAAGGGGCAAAAAACCTGTTTGAGCTGGAGATTTTTTTAATTTGCGGAGGGAACAGATGGGTCTTTGCCGACGCCGGCAGCCCGAGTGACAGCTCGCGCGCGGGGACGACGCTCTGCCGCGCTATCAAATTCCACTCGCTCACTCCCCAACACGCCCGGGCTGGCAGGTGAGTGACTGAACCCTTCTCCTACCACCTGGAAAACTTCATTTTCAAGGTTTTTTGTGGTTTTTTTACTTTTTCATACGCTCTTCTCCTACCACCTGGAAAACTTCATTTTCGAGTTTTTTTTGGTTTTTTTTTCCTTTTTCTTACGCCGGTCAAGGATGATTTAATTCTGTTGTCGCGCCTATCGGAGGCAGGAGCTGGGGGCTTCCCCAACCGGCCGCGGGGAACAGCCAAGCCAAGCGTGGAAATTTGCTGGAGTGAGTTGCTTGGAGGGGGATGTTGACAAGTTTAGGGGCCAAGGGGGAAGGTCCCCACTGTGTTTGGAGCTGGCAAGGAGACCTGGTGCCTTTGGAGGTGCTGACAAGGTAGCCATCCATAGAGAGCATCCTCACCCATCCTGCCTCTGGGAGCTGCTTGCTTGGGTTAGCAATGAAATATTAGAATCAGAGCATGGTTTGGAAGAGACCTTTGAAGATCATCTAGTCCAAGCCCGTACCGTAAGCAGGGACACCTCCCACCAGACCAGGTTGCTCAAAGCTCCGTCCAACCTGGCCTTGACCCCCTCCAGGGATGGGGCAGCCACAGCTTCTCTGGGCAACCTGGGCCAGGCTCTCACCACCCTCACAGTCATGCATTTCCTTCTAATATCTCATCTGAATCTCCCCTCTTTCAGTTTAAAACTGTTACCCCTCATCCTATGGCTCCCCTCCCTGACCAAGAGTCCCTCCCCAGCTTTTCTGGAGCCCCTTTGGGGACTGGAAGAGACTGGAAGGTCTTCCTGGAGCCCTCTCCAGGCTGAACCCCCCCAACTCTCTCACCCTGTCCTCACAGCAGAGGGGCTTCACCCCCTGGGATCATTTTTGTGGACCTAATGATGGTGTGACCACATGAATTGCTGCAAAATTTGATGATTCTGAGCAATTTATCTATTTTTTTTTGTTTTTTTTCTCCAACAGCAAGGTTGCATTGTACACCCAGTCCTGGCTTCTCTCCATCCAGTGGCCTGAACAGATCAGCGACGAGCCGATACATCGCCAGGTCTGTGTGTGTGTGTGTAGGAATGACATGCTCCCCCTCTGGTTCCTGAGATTTATGCTCAGGAAGGTGTCAGCAGCTTGAGATGCAGATGTTTGACCGGCTCCTTGATGGGTGAAGCTCTGGCTGCTGCTTTTCTCCCTTCTTCTGCTCCGAAGTGGTTCTAAGCTCAGCAGAATCATAGAATGGCTTGGGTTGGAAAGGACCTTAAAGATCATTGAGTTCCAACCCCCCACCCTGGGCAGGGACACCTCCCACCAGACCAGGTTGCTCAAAGCCCCATCCAACCTGGTCTTGAACCCCTCCAGGGATGGGGCAGCCACAGCTTCTCTGGGCAGAAAACCAGGGTTTCTGCTTGGAAAGGGTTTCAAAGATTATTAATGAGTTGTGACTCCTTCCTGCGCTCAAAGAACACCAAATCCTGCTTGGAAAGTCCCTTTTTAAATCAACCATATTGTTCTCAAGGGGGATTTTGGGTTTTTTCCCCCAACTCAGAAGCCCAATCCCAATTTAACCCAGCAAACCTGCAGCTTTTCCTTCTCGCTCTCCCACCCACAAACTGGGAACCAGTAACACAGCAACTGGAAAGCTCCAAGTATGGGAGAACGATGGCATGTTGCTGCTGTTTAGAGTCTTACCAGCTTTCTCCTTGGCTTCTTTCTTTTTTTTTTTCTTGTGCTCCAGATGTGCCACATATCATCGTGTCCTTAACTCTGAGCGTTTTGCAGACAAGTCCCTCTTAATTGTAGCAGACTAGAATTTATTCCCGAAGTGTGTCTGTTCCAGATGTCAGTTTACAGACATCGTGCTGGATTCTAGCTGTGTTTTAGCATCTCTACCACTAATATCAACTCATTTAAAACGTGCCATCAGAGTTAATTGGTGCCAAAGTTCAGCTTTCCGTGCAGGTCAACGTGCTGGTGGCCTGGCCAGGTCCCACAAGTAGCCAAGGTGTTGGCTATGGATGAGCCTTTATTCAATATCATCATTTTAGCCAAAAAATCATCTCTTTTTTAAAGGCTTGCCTTGCATTGGTCTTGGAAGCACCTCAAGTACCAAGAAGCAATTTGTGGTGGAGTTTGGTGTCCTCCCAGACCATTTGTGATGAAAGAGATGGTGGCATTTCCACTGCTGAAATGTGGCTTTTGCATTCAGCCTTTTGACTGCATGAAGTTGCCTTTCTCTGATTGTGTTGTAGCTTGAGAGCTGCAGACAATCAATGGTTATAGAGGTTAAAATGTGCATTTTCCCCTAAAATAGTGTCCTCATGCGAGTATTTATCCTGGGCAATGGTGCTGTGACCTTTAGACCTGTGGTTCTCATACCAGGAGGACCAAGACTGTGGAAATACGTACATATTATATAATATTTATGTATTATACCTATCTTAAAGTAATTTTATATGTAAAAATTTATCCTTAATCTCTAAGAAAGCAATGCATACAACTACCCGGAGAACCTAGGGCTTTGGTTGCCCCATCCAGAGCACTGTGTCCTCTGCAAACTTGAGTTAACCATGCCCTACCATCTAATTATCTGCTCGGAGAGCGTAAATGTGTCCTTGGTGGGGTTGTATTCCCCCAGATCTCAGCACTTTACCTCTTCCTCCTCATCCCATACATCTCTGTAGCTGCTGGGTAATTACCTCCTCAGCTGGAAGCTTATAGAAAACACGTTCTAAGCAACTTTTGATAGCCTTAAGTTGCTTCTAGTGGTACCAGGCAATTAATAGCAAGTTTTTGTGATGTTGGGTGTTATCTGGCTGTCACGTAGGCCCCTCATTCATTGAAGTCCATAAGGAGGTGCCCACTTGAAGACCTTGAATAGGGAGGATGTTTTCTCCCTCACCGTGTTCCCCAAAACTGCAGGAAGCTCTCTCCAGGCTCATAAAATCATAGAAGAGAATCACCATCATGGAGGTGGGAGGCTCTCTGGGGAGCTCTGTCCTTCCTCTTGCCCCAGATTGACCTTCCAACATATCTCTCTGAGAAGGTCTGGTTCCACCTTCTCTACAACATCCCATTAAGAAGTCACAGAGGACAATAAGATCCCCCTTGGCCTTCTCCTTGCTGAGCAAATCAGCCTGTGACCTCTACTCAGGTGTCCTGTGCTCCAGCCCCAACCATCTTGGTGGCCTCCAATGGACGCACTGCCATCCGTCACTGTCTGTGTTGTACTGGGAGCCCCAAACTGGACCCAGTGCCCAGCTGTGGTCTTGCAAGTGCCAAATAGAGGAGATAGATCCCCTTCCTCATCCTCCTGGCTGCATTCCTGCTAATATGGCCCACGGTGCGGTTGGTGTCACCACCACAAGGACACCTGGGTGACTCCTCTTCCCCAGAGTTGTCTTCCCAGTGGGCCACAACGTGTCCTGGGGTTAATTCTACACCAAATGCAGGTGTTTCCTGGGAGATTGTCCTCTTCTTGCAAATTTTTAAAGATTCAGGGTAAAGTTGTCCAAGAATAAAAAAGACTTAAGAGCTTATGGCCTAGAACTAACTGTTTGAATATCTCACAGTCTCATCAAAGCAAATCTTGGGCTCCTCTGTGATTTCAGATGCTATTGACCTTTCTCCTCTACGTCACTATTGTGTTGGAGATGTTAACCTGACCCTGTCTGTCTTTCTCCTTCTAGCCGTGCTGTTCAGCGAAGTTTGGCCATCATTCGTCAAGCCAAGCAGAAGAAAAAGAAGAAAGAATATTGTATGTACTACAACCGCTTTGGCAAGTGTAATCGTGGGGACAGTTGCCCCTACATCCATGATCCGGAGAAGGTGGCCGTCTGCACCAGGTATGGATGGACACAGCAGCCCCATAATTTGGCTCATCACAGTAGACTGGGCCATTGGTTGGCTTTGACGCTTGCTCATGGGATATTCCTCAGGGAAACAACCCAATAGTGGAGATTGCTCCAGGGGAGGTTTAGGATGGATCTTAGGAAAAATTTCTCCACCTAAAGGGTTATCAAGCTCTGGAAGAGGGTGCCCAGGGAAGTGGTGGAGTCCCCGTCCCTGGAGGGATTTAAAAGATGGGTAGATGTGGTGCTGAGAGACACGGGTTAGGCAGTGTTAGGTCAATGGTTAGACTTGGTGATCTTAAAGGTCCTTTCCAACGTAGGTGATTCTATGTAAGACCATGAGAACCAGCTGTTCTGGCTCAAGTCCAGGACCTACCCAACACCATTGGGTTGGCAAGTATCTACAGGAGGAGGACATGTAGAGAAGGGCTCTTTCTCCTGGCTGGGACCTCTCAGCTTCGGGCAGTGAAGCCCTGCAGCATGGTAGCATTGGGTTTTCAACTCCTAGAGCATGCCACCAAGCCATCATCATGCAATGGTCAGCAGTTCTCTTCTGGTGAATTTATTTACTTTTTCCTTTAGTACATGATATTTATGGCGATGGGTTGCACGACTGGATTGAGGATTGCATTAAAAGTGCTTCCTCAACTGGTCCCTCCTCTCTGGTGGTTCATGAGAAGGATGGAATAATCATTCCCTGATCACCTTCTGGGCACCATTTATAACTGCATAGTCCTCCCTTCTCTGTCTAAACTTCCCAGACTGGAGAATTGTGGTCTTTTTAATCTCTCTGCTATTTTTTTCTGTACATTTATACAGCATTTTATACCTGTTAATGCCAATGCACAACCCATTGTGCATTGTTAAAGTTAAATACACAGATTTGGGTTGTTCTGCACAGTCTTTTGGGACGACAGAAATACTTATTTCACATTTTGGAGGTGAATACCAGCACCAGGACATTTACATCTAATAAGTGACCTTCCATATCGTAATGCAGAAGCTCTAAAAAAAATTAAAAATCAGAGTAGTGTTTAAAGAATTAGTAATAAAATCAAATCAACGTTTCTTAAATAGAATTGGAATAATAGTCCTTAGTCATTTCGTTGGTGCTGTCAGGTTGAGGATGCCGTCGGAGTTTCCAGATGAGATTTTAAGGCTAAAAATTTCAGTCAGTCCCCAAATAAACCATCTGACCTGAACGATTTTGTGGCTCCTGGGTAATATTGGATGCAGATTTGAGCTGAGGGACTTGAGAGCCCGCCCCGACCACGCGCCGGGTGATTTCTTCTGAGAGCAACGTTTCTCAGATCTCCTCAGATCCATGCAACAGGTTTTCATCCTCCAGCCTGTGATGCCACGGAGCTGCGAGACTTGATAATTTATTACGGGAGAACTGATTCATGTTGCCAGCTCGTTATACCTGCCCAACACTTGATTAAACTATATTATTAGTCGTTTAAAAAGTGTGGAAAAGCCAACTCCGCTGATGAACTCCTTGAGTAATTTCTCTGTGAAATTGCTGCTGGGCTAGAAATCATTTGGAGGTTGCGCAAAGCTCGATGGGAGACCGTGTAGGAGGGAGAAAGGTGATTTATTTATTTTTTAACCAATTTCACTCATTCTCACAGAATCACAGAATGATATGGGGTTGGAAGGGACCTCTGTAGATCATCTAGTCCAACCCCTTGCCAAAGCAGGGCCACCTAGAGCAGGTTGCACAGGAACGTGTCCAGGCAGGTTTGGAATGTCTCCAGGGTCAGGGACTCCACCACCTCCCTGGGCAACCTATTCCAGGGCTCTGCCACCCTCACAGGAAAGAAGTTCCTCCTCATGGTTAGGTGGAACTTCTTTTATTCAAGTTTGTGCCCATTTCCTCTTGTCCTGTCACTGGGCACCAATGAAAAAAGACTGGCCCCATCCTCCTGACACCCACCCTTTGAGTATTTATAGGTGTTGATCAGATCCCCCCTCAGCCTTCTCTTCTCCAGACTAAAAAGACCCAAGTCCCTCAGCCTCTCATCGTAAAGAGATGCTCCAGGCCCCTCATCATCTTTGTAGCCCTTTGCTGTCCCCTCTCCAGCAGTTCCCTGTCCTTCTTGAACTGGGGAGCCCAGAACTGGTCCCAGTGCTCCAGATGGGGCCTCACGAGGCAGGGCAGAGCAGAGGGGCAGGATGACCTCCCTCCACCTGCTGGTCACACTCTTCTTGATGCCCCCCAGGATGCCATTGGCCTTCTTAGCCACAAGGGCACATTCTCCTGTAACATCTTCTCGTGTGTCCAAGGCATCTGGTCAGGATTACTTCTGGTGACACAGAGGACAAGGGATGTCGGCCGCTGAGTCCTCACTTTGAATCCTTGGTTCTTCTTATGTTGGCGACCAAATCTGGTTTTTGGTGGTGCTTCTTGCACACTTTAGGAATTGCTGGTCCTTGAGGCCTTTTGGGTCTCCATCCTGCGCCATTTCCATGAGTCACCAGAGGACAACACGGATTTACTCCCCATCTTGTGTCTCCTCACCCTGGTGCCTTCTAGCTCCAATTCCATTCTTTAGCTTTCTGTTATTATCCCTTGATGTTCTCACTCTGCTTTTGGTTTAAGGTGTCCTTTATTTTCCAGGGCTGGGTGTCTTGAGGAGCTGCACGTAGCTGTGCTGTGATCACAATCACCTGCACACCCAGTTGCCATCAGCCAGTGGTTTTCACATCTATAAGTTCTCATTTATACTCTCTTCAAACCACTCTGATTTTATTTTTTTTTTTAATTAATCTCTCCATCCTCAGCTCTAAATTTCTAAATAAAGCTCGGAGCATATTCCATTCTCCAGAACCTCCCTGCAAGGTTATGCAGCTCAGAACATGTACCCCTGGAGTCTGGTTTTGGGGGATTCAGACCCCCTCTTCCCACAATAATACGTGTATTTTATTAATCTGCTGTCACACTGGTACCTTCTACATCCTCGTGCTTTGGGATCTTGGTTTCTGTTGTGTGCCTGTCTCTCTGCTCCTCCTGGTTGTTGGCCACTCACACCCTGAGGTCCTCCTGGTGCTTCATGCAGCATCTGGTGTCATCAGGGCTCTAGGAAGGACCTTTCTCCTTCCGGGAGCATCATCTCTGAAACTCATGGTGCGGGCCTTGCTCTGTCTACTAATGAGCAGCCAAATATGATGAAAGAACAAAATCTTATCAGGAAACTTCAACTGCCCTTCTAACAAGAAGGACCTGTACCAATTTAGGGCATAAAATGGACTTTAGGAGCAATTTTTGGCCTTGTGGAAAATGTGGTAATGGGGCAAGACAGATGCTTGGTGTTTAAAGCCGTGTGTTTTGTCACCTACCTCGTGCTCAACCTTCTCCTTCTGGTGTATCTACAGGTTTCTCCGTGGCACATGCAAGAAGACAGATGGGACCTGTTCCTTTTCCCACAAGGTGTCCAAAGACAAGGTCTGTATGGCTTCCCAAGGAGCACGGTGCAGCTCTACGAGCGAGCGGCACTACGCTGGTGGTTGTAGGGAACTCTACCTCATTGAGCGCTTCCAACAGAATTTATCTGTAGTTATCCTGCCAAGCTCTTCAGGAAACAGCCTCAAGTTGAGCCAGGGGAGGTTTAGGATGGATATTAGGGAAAGTTTCTTCACTGCAAGGATTGTCAAGCATTGGAAGAGGCTGCTTAGGGAAGTGGTGGAGTCATCATGCCTGGAGGTATTGAAAAACTGGGCAGACGTGGTGCTGAGGGACATGGGTTAGTGGTGGCTTTGTCAGTGTTGGGTTGATGGTTGGACTCGAGGATCTTGAAGGTCCCTTCCAGCCTAGACGATTCTATGATGGGGTTGTGAGAGCAAAGTGTGTCTCTTCAACTGGTGCAGTGAATCGGTAGATGAACGCGTTAAGCAGTGGGTTGGAATTTGGAGCACCTGGGGCTGTGTTGGGTAACGTCTGTTGGGTGAAGAAGTGCTTAAACTCCCAGAATCGGAGAGAAGAAGCATGAAAGTAGAGTTTTAGTTGCATCTAATCCATAACTACCTCTGTAAGATTGCCCTTCCCTCTAAATCACCCCACGCTGGGGTGGGAGGAGGAGGATGTTACAACATGGAAGAGCTTGGAGATATAAATTAACCTTTCTAAAAAGCTGGGCAGTGAAACCTCCAGCAGAACAGCTTTTGAGTTCATCATTGTTTTCAACCTTCTTGATGTATCTGGGGGCTCCGTGGTTTTATTACACGGAGCGAGGTGGAAAAATAATTAGGTTTTCTTCTAGTGATTATCAGTTGACGATTTAGCAGATCAACCTCCACTCGGTGGCTGGGATCTCCAGTCAGACGTAGCTTTGGAGACCTCAAGCGTTGAAGCGGAGGTGATGACATTGATGCTGAAGGTGAAGCGTTGCTGTGGGTCCTTCGCTGAGCTGGGATGTGCTTCGAGCACGTATTTACGTTTCAAGCTTTGGTGGATGGATCTGGAGGATCATTTCTCCTCTACAGACCAAGGATCACTCAAACAACAGCAGTGAGGTTGATCCCACCAGGGTTTTTAGACGCCAACCGACGCGGTGTCACTGAGTCGGGGAGCGCTTTGTGATGGGATGGAGATGCCAGGAAGCGGGATGTGATTGAGGACTGGTTTTCCTGGAGAAGTTCGTGAGGCTCAGACCTTTGTGGTGTCGCTCGATGAGTCTACGCCCCCTCCTTGGCTGTATTTCTGGCCTGTCTTTTGTCAAAGGCAGCTTTGTCAAAGCTCTCACAGCTGTGCCTGGGGCACAGAATCACAGAATCACAGAATCTTAGTGGTTGGAAGGGACCTCTGAGATCATCGAGTCCAACCACACAAAAAAAAAAAAAAAGCACCCAGATGCAACCCAACAATCTCAGCCACTGGAGCATGCCCTGCAGTACGTAGCTTGGGAGACCTCAAGCGTTGAAGCCGAGGTGATGACGTTGATGCTGAAGGTGAAGCGGAGCTGTGGGTCCTTCGCTGAGCTGGGATGTGCTTCGAGCACGTATTTATGTTTCAAGCTTTGTTGGATGGATCTGGAGGATCATTTCTCCTCTACAGACCAAGGATCACCCAAACAACATCAGTGAGGTTGATCCCACCAGGGTTTTTAGACGCCAACCGACGCGGTGTCGCTGAGTGGGGGAGCACTTTGTGACCGGTGTCAAGGCTCTGCCATTGGGATGGAGATGCCAGGAAGCGGGATGCGATTGAGGACAGGTTTTCCTGGAGAAATTCGTGAAGCTTAGACCTTCGTGGTGTTGCTTGATGAGTCTACACCCCCTCCTTGGCTGTTTTTCTGGCCTGTCATTTGTCGAAGGCAGCTTTGTCAAAGCTTTCACAGCTGTGCCTGGGGCACAGAATCACAGAATCTTAGTGGTTGGAAGGGACCTCTGAGATCATTGAGTCCAACCACACACAAAAAAAAAAAACAAAAAACAAACAAAAAAAAACCAACCCAAAAAAACCCAACCAAACAAATCCAAAACACACCACACCAAACGCCCACCAAAACCACCGCACCCACCAACTAAACCCCACACTCAACACCTCACCATAAACCAATAACCTTGGGCACTAGAGCAGGCCCTGAAGAGCCATGTCTATACGTTTCTTAAATCCCTCCAGGGATGGTGACTCCACCACCTCCCTGGGC